AGGAGCATTATAAAGCAGAATCTGACTCTAAATCATGAAAGGTAATGACAGGGCAGGTGATGAAAAGCTTGAATGAAGAGATCTGTTCTAAAAAGATTTTAAAGGGGAGAACTGAGGTAGAAATTCCAGAGCTTGGGTTTAAGGACAATGCTGCTCGATAGGTCCATGGCAGGTCGTGAGGGAACCAGTAAAGGGAGAAAGCATATTTGACCTCGTACTAACCAATCTGCCTGCACAGATGCATCTGTCCATGATAGTATCGGAAGAGTGACTGATGGGGAGACAAAGCCCTTTCTTTGCAATAAGCATGCCCTCCATTTCATTGTGTGGCATTATCACTGTGCTTAGGGAGATATATTTTGAACAGATCTAGCAACTCATGACTGGGCACCCATGAAGCACTGTGGAAAATTAGCAACAGTACAATTCTATTTGAAGGCAATCTGATAGGGTGTGGGATTTGCCTTAGCATATCCCATGCCCGATCATTCCCACTATGCCAGGGATCAACCCTTGTTCAATGAAAAGTGCAGGAGGGCATGCCAGTAGCAGCACAGGCACATGTGAGGTGTCAATCTCGTGAAGCTACCATGGACTACTTGCATGCCATACAGCATAAGCAGCAAATCATAGATGGCATCAAGTTTCAGAACCAAGGGATCAGGTCTAAGTTCTGCAGTCTGGTCAGATCCAGTCATCAGTGGGGATAATCAAAAGACTCACTGGAGGAGGAAGCTCCACAAATATCCCCATCCTCAATGATGAAAGAGCCCAGCACATCAGTGCAAAAGATAAGGCTGAAGCATTCGCAGCAACCTTCAGCCAGAAGTGCTGAGTGGATGACCCAGCTCAGCCTCCTCCAGAGGTCCCCACCATCACAGTTTCCTGTTTCCAGCCAATTCAATTCACTTCACATGATTTCAAGAAATAGTTGAAGACACTGCAAAGGCTATGGGCCCTGACAAGACTCTAGCAATGGTAGTGAAAGCTTGTGCTCCAGTTCATGCTGCTCCCCTAGCCAAGCTCTTCCAGTACACATTCACAGCACTGGCATCTACCTGACAATATGGAAAATTGCTCAGGTATGTGCTGTGCACGAAAATCAGGACAAATCCAACCTAGGCAATTGTCACCCCATCTGTCTACTCTATCATCAGTGAGGTGCTCGAAGGTGTCATCACTGTGCTATGAAGAAGCACCTGCTCAGCAATAACCTACTCAGTGACACCCAGCCTGGGTTCCATCAAGACCAGTCAGCTCCTGACCTCATTACAGCCTTCATTCAAACATAGACAAAGGCACTGAATTCCAGAGGGGAGGTGAGAGTGACTGCCCTTGACATCAAGGCAACACTTGACTGAATGTGGCATAAAGGAGACCTAGCAAAACGTGGAGTCATAGAGTCATAGCATTGTACAGCATGGAAACAGAACCTTCAGTCCAACGCGTCCATGCCTACCAGATATCCTAAATTAATCTAGTCCCATTTGCCAGCAGTTGACCCATATGTCTCTAAACCCTTGCTATTCATATACCCATGCAGATGCCTTTTAAATGTTGCAATTGTACCAGCCTCCACTACTTCCTCTGGCAGCTCATTCCATACACACACCACCCTCTGTGTGAAAAAGTTGCCCCTTAATCCCCTTTAAATCTCTCCCCTCTCACCTTAAATGTATGCTGCCTTGTTTTGGACTACCCTACCCTGGGAAAAAGACCTTTGCTCTTCACCCTGTCCATGCCCCTCATGACTTCTATAAGGTCACCCCTCAGCCTCTGACGCTCTAGGGAAAATAGTCCCAGCCTATTCAGCCTCTCCCTATAGCTCAAAACTTCTAACCCAAGCAACATCTTTGTAAATCTTATCTGCACCCTTTCAAGTTTAACAACATCTTTCCTACAGCAGGGAGAACCAGGATTGAATGCAGTATTCCAAAAGTGGCCTGACCAATGTCCTGTATAGCCGCAACATCCCAACTCTTATACTCAATGCACTGACCACTAAAGGCAAGGGCACCAAATGTCTTCTTCACTGCACGATCTCCCTGTGAATCCACCTTCAAGGAACTATGAACCTGCACTCTAAGGTCTCTTTGTTTGGCAACAATCCCCAGGACATTACCATTAAGTGTGTAAGTCCTGTCCTGATTTGCCTTTCCAAAATGCAACACCTCACATTTATCTAAATTAAACTCCACCTGCTACTCTTTGAATTATTGGCCTATCTGATCCAGGTCCCATTGTACTCTGAGATAACCTTCTTCGCTGTCCATTGCACCACCAATTTTGGTGTCATCTGCAACTTACTAACCATACCTCTTACATGTATAAATGACAAAAAGCAGGAGGCCCACCACCGATCCTTGCCGCACAACGCTGGTCACAGACCTCCAGTCCAAAAAAATACAACCCTCCACCAGCACTGTCTGTCTCCCACCTTCAATCCAATTTTGTATCCAAATGGCTAGCTGTCCTTGGATTCCATGTGATCTAACCTGGAGTTCATGAAAATTGGGGGCGAAAACTCTTTGCTCCCGAGCGCAAAGGAAGCTGGTTGTGGTTGTTGGACGTCAGTCATCTCTGCTCCGGGACCTTTCTGCAGGAGTTCCTCAGTGTCCTAGGACCAATCGTTTTTAGCTGCTTCATCAATGACTTTCCCTCCATCATAAGGTCAGAAGTAGGGATGTTCGCCGATGATTGCATAATGCTCAGGCACCATGCTGAGTTACTGAGGTACTCCATTTCCAAACGTAACAAAATGCAGGCTTTGATTGACAAGTATTGTCAGAGATTATTTGCAAGAGGGAGTGCTGCAGAGGTTCGTTAGGCCAATAGTGGGGCTGGCAAAACTATCGTGTGAGGAGAGATTGATTCATGTAGGCCTACATTCACGAGCATTTGGAAGGATGACAGTGGACCTGATTGAAATGTTTAAAATACTAACAGAGCTGTACAGACTAGCTGCAAGGAGATTGGTTTTGCTGGTTGTGGAATCTAGAACTGGGGGACACAGCCTTGGGATACTGGGTAAATCCTTTAGGACTGAGATGAAGAAACATTTCTTCACTCAAAAGATTGTAAACCTGTAGAATTCTCAACTACTAAAGGGTGTGGACACCAAGTGACTGAATGTATACAAGGAAGAGGTAAGTTTTTAGATTTGAAAGAATGTGGGGAGAAAGCAGGAATATGGCATTGAGATACGATAGCAACCTTAATCATATTGAATGGTAGGCGAGGCTTAAAGGGCTAACCAGCTTATTCCTGGTCCTAATTTCTATTACGGTATGTCTATGTTCATTCTAGAACTATGTCCATTCTAAAATTGTTGGCTTTGACATATCCCATTCACACCTATTCAGAAAGTAATTCACTGCTGGAGGGTTGCCTGACAAGAACTATTTCACTTAATGAACATTCCAGTGAAATGATTTAATATCCTTCATCCTGACATTCACTTTTTTTTTCATTGTGAACTTAATTCCATTCCACTCCAAGGTTTTTGAGAAGATTTGTAGCTCGGGTTGTTGATGCAGTTGTTGACTTGCTCACTGAGCTGGTAAGTTTGCTTGCAACCAAAGTGTAAAAGCGTAGTCTGCCGATACCTACACAACAGACCACAACAGGAAGACAAAACATGTCCAGAGAGACTAGTCACCCTACCATACATTAAGGACATATCTGAGATGACCATCAGATTACTTTGCACCCCCAACCCCCCAGCCCAGGAATCATGGTAGCCCACAAACCAACAGCTACACTATGATAGCCACTGATGAGAATAAATGATCCGACACAGTGGTTCAGTGGTTAGCACTGCTGCCTCACAGCACCAGGGACCCGGGTTCAATTCACCTTTGGGCGACTGTGTGGAGTTTGCACACTCTTCCCATGTCTGCGTGGGTTTCCTCTGGGTGCTTCAGTTTCCTCCCACAGTCCAAAGATGTGTAGGTGAGGTGGATTGGCCATGCTAAATTGCCTGTAGTGTTCAGGGATGTGTAGATTAGGGGGATGGGCCTGGGGTGGGGGGTGCTCTGAGTGTCGGTGTGGACTTGTTGGGCCGAAGGGCCTGTTTCCACGCACTGTAGGGATTCTATGATTCTAAACCATAATTAACAGTACCAACGTTCTTTACAAGATACCATGCAAAGACTGTCAAAAACTTTACATAGGGCAAACTGGAAGGAAACTAGCCATCAGGATTCACGAACACCAATTAGCTACCAAGAGACATGACCAACTATCACTCATTTCAATGCACATGGACAAAGAGGGAGACCAATTAGACTGGGACATTGTAGCCATCTGAGGACAAGCTAAGCAACGACACACACGAGAATTCCTGGAGGCCTGGCACTGCAACTCCATTAACAAACATGTAGAGCTGGACCCCATATACCAACCACTAAGAAACAAATCCGGAAGTGATGCCACCCACTCCAGCAAACTGAGGCATATGAATAGCAAGCGGGACACAATACTGATGCTTCACCGGAGGTGCACTGATGACGTTACCTAGTATGGTGACGAAACGTTTGCAACCAAACCCACTGGCTCGGCGAGCAAGTCAACAACTCCATTCTAGTCGTCACTTCCCAAGGATTCCTTGGCTTGAGGTCAATCTGTGACCTGAAGATAGAGATCAAAGGGAGCCAAAAACAGTTGGACAGACAAAGGAGTAGTTAAAGGTCAGTCTGGGGATTAAATAGCTGCTAATGGGGACTATAGGTGGCTGTCAATGAGTTGTGTGTGGCGCATCCCATGTGATGACAAGGCCTGGTGTGTGGGGTGGGAGAAAGGATGGGCAAAGGTGTTCAAGCCCAAAAATTGTTGAACTCAAATCCAGAACAGGCTATTCCATCCACATGCGATTGTTTTCTTTTGGACCAGATAAAGTTGCATTTGATCTGAAGCATCTCTTCCAGTAGATGGGTTATCTAATTAACTGAATCTATTTCTATGATCCTACATCTGCCTGAGTCTGCCTGTACATGAAGAGCATAGCTTGAATGACCTTTTTATTTTCCTTCTCGCTTACACCTGTCCTTGGCAAGGCAACCATCTCACAATGCTGCAAACCTGCTGCTCTCATCAGGGAACAAATTTATGACATTTTTATCTGCGATGGTTATATCAGGAAATTAGGTCAAACAGAAGTTTAACCAAAGCGTTATCATTTTCATTTTGTTGACAGATAATGAAATGCCGTGGTTCGATTCACTGAGAATGTACAGGCAGCCTACAGAGCAAATTGTGAAATTACACCCACACACTTAGTAACTTCAAATAAATCGTTTCTCATTTTCTTAATGGATTGCAGGGGGAAAAAGGCAAGAACTCATTCACTGAATTAACTCCACCAAAGACTCAACATTTTTCCTGGTTAACAGCTCACCTCCAGGATCTTACCGTGTTAGGTTTATCACTTTTTCTTTTTGGGTAAAATATCTAGTGTGAGAATCCACTGAGTAGTACATTGACTTATGAATGCAATCATTTGTAATTCCTGTATCAATTTTTAGCTTGCTTGATCTTTCACTGGGTATGGGGTGTTGAAAGTGAAGCCAGGATTTGTCCCAAAGAATTTACTGATTTGTTTAAATTGAAATGGCTTTGTTATATTGTTATATTATTCCAATGTGACTTAGATTTAGATTATTGTGTTTATATTTCTATGAGCCAAGAACCAGAGAGCACAGATTTAAGGGAATTGACAGGAGAAACAAAGTGCAACATGACAAAGAACCATTTCTTTCAGCCAGGAATGGTTAGGATGTGGAATGCACTGCCTGGGAGTGTGGTGAAGGAAGGTTCACTTAAGGCACTTAAGAGGGAATTAGATTATCTGAAAAGGAAGTGTGCAGGATTATGGGGGAAGGCAGAGGAGTTGCATTGGTGAGTTGCTTGTTCAGGACACACAGACCAGGCTGAATGGCCTTCCAGTGTGTTGTAATGATGCTAGGATTCTATGTATACATGTATATATCCAGCATATCATATCGTTTGTGTTGCACTACAGTCAGGATCAAAGCGACAAAGCATTGGTCTGTCCACATGAAGAGATCTGGAAAAATGCATTTGATTTAAAATATTGTCTAAAAGTGTGATTTCTTCAAATTTCAGGGAAGCACAAGATTCAACAGTAGTTAACTCCAATGTTAAAATAACAACCACAGGAAAATCATGCAAATTGTAATTAAATGGGTAATTAAACAGGGAACACATATTGCCATTCTTTGACTGTCACTGGGTCAAAATCCTGGAACTCCCTCTCTCATGGCAAGAGATAGCAGCTCAGCACCACCTTCTCAAGGGCAACATGGAATGGGAAGTAAATGCAGACTCAGCCAGCAAAGCCCACATTTCATGAATGAACTTTTTTTTTAAAATAAAGGCAGCATTTTGCAGGTTGGAAACAGATTTGACCAAATGGTCTATGCTGGTGTTTATACTTCACTCCTACCTTATCTCATTGAACACTATTGAGATAACTTTCTATTCCATTCTTTTCCTCACTTACCTGCCTAACTTCCCATTAATTGCAATGATGTATTACATAAAAAAAGAAGACCTCCATTTGAACAATTGTGACCAAAAGCAGTAGTTAGAATTTCCAACCAAATCTATTCAGTACTTATATAAAAATAATTGGTCTTGATTTATCAGTCAAGGGATGTGAACCCTGACAGAAAGCTGAAGGAGTAGAATCACTTGAAGTACTATTTCAAAAAAATTTGATAACCCAGTACAATCTTTGAAGCTGGGAGCATGACTTAATAAAGCTCACAGAGTCCTTGAAAGTATAAGGCAAGCACTTCATACCCAACCTTTGTAAATCGCTGTTTAGATTTCAGTTTGAATATTCTGCCCAGTTTGGTTTTATTTCATTGGCTGGGCCAACATTTGTTGCCCATCCCTAATTGCTCCTGAGAAGTTGGTGGTGAGCTGCTTTCTTGAACTGCAGCAGTTCACGTGGTGTAGGGTCACTCGCAGTGATGTTAAGAAGGGAGTTCCAGGATTTTGACCCAGCGATGGTGAAGGAACGGTGATATATTTCCAAGTCAGGATGGTGAATTGTTGGAGGGGAACTTGCAAGTTGTGGTGTTTCCATGTTTTTGTTGCACAGTAATGTGTAAAGATTTTTAGTAAAGATGTCAATGCTTTGGGCAGGATGCGGAAGGATTTACGAGAATGGAAACAAGAACAATAGACTTCAGTTACGGGCAGTCCCTGGGATGTGAATAGGTTCCATTCTGGAGTCTGTTTGCAAGTCAAATTGTATGCAAGTCAGAACACAATGCAGGACAGGATGGCACGGTGACTCGATGGTCAGCACTACTGCCTCACAGTGCAATGGACTTGGGTTCGATTCCATCCTTTGGCAACTGTCCATTTGGAGTTTGTGCATTGTGTCTGTGTGGGTTTCCTCTCACAATCCAAAGATGTGTAAGTTGGGTGGATTGGCCATGGGAAATGCAGGGTTATGGGAATAGGATAGGGGTTTGGGTCTGGGTGGGATGCTCTTTGGAGGGTCAGTTGGGCTCATTGGCCTGCTTCCACACCGTAGGGATTCTATGAATTAAAAGCAGCTGTTTGTATGTACAAGAAATGTTTGTATGTTGGGTCTTTAAAATCACAACCACATATGGGATTGCATTCATAACTCAGATGTTTATAACTCAAGGGCCCCCTGCATTGGGAGCAGCCGGATAATTTGTTAAATGGCAGATTTGATCAAAATTGTGGGAAGTTTTCATGGAGTAAATAGGAGAGAAGTTGTTACCACTTTGGCCAGGCCTGTAACCAGAGAACACAGATTTAAGATAATAGAGGGGGAAAAAAAAATATCCAGTGAGTGGCTGCAATCTTGATTCATTGCTGTAAGACTGTTGGACACAGTTTCAATAGTAAGCTTTTCATTGGGGGAAACATCAAGGCTCTGGGGAAAAGGCAGGAGAGTGGAAATAACTTGATAGTTTTTTTAAAAGAGTTAGCATGGGCATGATGGGTCTAATGGCATCCTCCTTTGTGGTGGGATTGCATGATACCATGAAATACAACCAGATGTCAAGATGTAAGTTCATGTAATCTCTGACATCCCATGTTCAATCTCTTTTCTCGCCTAAGAGCGTTGACTTTCTAATAATCTTTCTGTCTAAGATGACTTTAGTCTTCCAAACACATTCTGAACTAGCAACACTCCAAAATGACCTGCTCCAATAAATCTTGCTGTATATTCTTTGTGCATTTTACCACCTTCTTTGTCTCACTGCCGAGGCTGCAACAGATACTTGGAAGATGTTGCATGAGAATTTAATGGAAGAGTAAGGAAATCCTCAGACAAAAACAAAATGTCTGAACTCACACCACAACCAAAATCACAGACAATGTGCCACATGAGTTTATCACTTTCTTCCACCTGAAGAACAAGGAAAGGTGGAATAAATTTCAAGGTACGGGCTGGGACAGGTCAGTGGGTAAAGGTGATGATATTGTAGCATGAACAAATAAAACCAGAGGAGACTCAGACTGAGTCAAAAAGGAAAGAATGCATTCAGTACATTGGTGAAAAAAGTGAAAATGTCAGGTATAGCAATGAAAATAAAAGGGGTATGCACGTGTTTTCATCAACTATGAAGAGAGGCAGGTTGTTTCCTTTGGAGCGCAGAAGGTTAAGGAAGGACCTAAAGATGTGTAATAGATTATCAGGGGAATGGATAATAACGAAGGGGCACAGTTTTAAGTGAAAGACAGGTGGTTTAGAGGGGATCTGAGGAAAGATATTTTCACCCAGAGGGCAGTAAGGGTACATAATACATTTCCCAGGAGGGTAGTCGAGACAGAAAACCTGAAAAACTTTTAAAAAATAACTTAGGTGAGCACTCAAAAGGTCATAACTTTCAAGGCTATGAGCCTAGTGTTTGAAAATGGGATCATGGAATCCCTACAATGTGGAAGCAGACCATTCAGCCAATCCAGTCCACACTGAGGTGCCAAAGGGCATCAGTCCAACATCCCTAACCTATCCTCGTGACTCCACATTTCCCAGAGCTAACCCACCTAGCCTACATGTCCCTGGACACTATGGGCAATTTAGCTTGGCCAATGTGGGAGGAAACTGGGGCATCCGGAGGAAACCCAAGCAGACACAGGTAGAATATGCAGACACCGCACAGACAATCACCCAAGACTGGAACTGAAGCTGAGTCCCTGGTGCTGACCAATGAGCCACTGTCTCGCCCAATGGGACTACTATAAATTTAGTGCAGCTTTGGTGGTACAGACTTGATGGGCTGAAGGGCATCCTATACTGTATGATTCTATGATTCTAGTAAATTTTATGCTGTTTCATATAATACAAGTCAGCATGCATAGACAACTGTCTATGTTTTTTAAGCAAAGAAAGACTGCCCCATAATGAAGTTAATACTTTTGTACATGTAAAATATTCCGTACATTGTGCCACCTATTGCGGGTCTAGAAATGTTACCCTTCATGAACTGTATGTTCGGAAACTCATAATTATATCTATATACAGTGCAATGTTGTTGGAGTGGATGAAATGGTAATAGATGAAGCATGCAATTTCTCTCTTAATAATTGCTGAGTATTATGAATTCAACACTCTCAAACAATTTTCAGTTTTACTCCCTGCAGGTTAGCTTTAAACTAATACATTTTAAACAGCAGAATGCATGCTCAAAGCAATACACTCAGCTTAAAATTCTTGTCACTTACGAATGCAAGGAATAACTTTGCTTATCTTCTTAAGTGCTTACGTAGTTGAATTTTTCATCTGTGGGTGTGAGATATTAATATAGGAGTCCCTTGAGCCTGTTCTGCAATTTAAGGAGATCGTGGCCAAATTGTCGCAAACCCCATAGACTCACCTTGCCCCATATCCCTTAATACCTCAGGATCATAGGAATTTATCAACGTCAGATTTAAAATCAACAATTGATCTAACATCAATTGAGATTTGTGGAAGATATTTTCAAACTTCTACCACCCTTAGTGTATAGAATATTTCTAAATCTCATTTCTGCAAGTTACTGTCTTTAA